CAAATACAAATTTTCAGCTAGCTAAGGGGTGGAGCTTGTGTGGACAGCGGGGCGGAGTGGGGGGAGAGAGTACGCAAGTTTTAGTTGCGCCTTGAAAGAAATTTTCATTTCATAGTCGCTCATTGAAAATAATTAAAATTAATTAAGCCATTTTATGCCGCTGCCTGTGCTACTGCATTGGCTAACTGCTTGTGCCCCTCCCCACTCTCCGCTCTCTCTCTCTCTCTCACTCTCCGCCCCCCTCCCAGCACGCCTTGTGCAACGTATCTATAAATTTAAATCGCCTTTAATTGAGGCAACTTTTGGGTGACGAACCACTGCGAAGACTCTGTGGAAATTGTCAGGAATTTTATGTATGTATATTTGTGTTTGTTTTTATATACCCTAAACACACTTATAAGGGTATAATGTTTCTGTGCTAATGTATGTAACAGGTAGCAGCAACGAGCTGCATTTATTGTTACTAGAAGAAAGTACAGGGTATTCTCTGATCGGGCTCGACCGACTAGAACACTCCTAGTTGTCTTTTTGTAGTTTTGAGCAATGCTTTAATTAATATTTAATTACTTGAGCGGGGGCTTAGACTGACTGATTTGTTGAAATTTTAGAGCTTTTATCAAACAAAAAAAAAATAAAAAATAAAGAAATATAGATATACAACACGTGCAATGATTGATTGTTAGCTATTTTTATTGTATTTGTGGGCCAGGGTTTAAATGTGAGTACAAACAACAACAACAACAACAACAACAAAAAGAGAACTCAACTCGGCATTTGGTTCTTTGTTCTCTGTCTCAAAGAAAAGAAAATCACATGCATATATACAACAAATAAAGGATGCCAATAGACAGAGAAATAGTGAGTCACACGCTCAGAAGCCTGTCGCACTTGAATGACTGTCTGATTGACTGACTGACGGACTGACTGACTGACGGACTGACTGACTGAGTGACTGATGGACGGACGGACTAACTGACACGCATTGTCTATTGGCCAGGCTCACATTTCTATACATTTTACATTTAACATTTAATTCGTTTTTCTCGCTCGCCCAAAGTTGTCGGAAAAACTACAATTTGAGTGATGGAACGAATTTGCATTCGACATTTTATGATAGCAGGCGTAAAACAGAGACAGACAGAGTGTGTCAGACAGAGATAGCGAAAGGGAGAGAGCTAGAGAGAGAGAGTAAGAGATGATGGGCATGCCGCAAATTTATGCGCCTTAATTCCACCAACAACTAATTCACTTAATTATCATACTAAACAAAATCAAATTACATTTGCTTATGAATTGGGAAATGTTTTGGGAACGCGTTCTTATAACATCATCGCAATTTTCTTTGAATTATGCTATTAAAAAATTAAATGTTCGCCTTTGTTTGCAGTAGGTGACAAATGTTTGCTTTTATTTGAACACATCAAATTGCCTAATAAAATTATTAACATAAAACAAAATATATGAACATTTTAAAACATGCTAATAAAGCATTTTATTGTTTTCAAAATCGAATACATTTCGAGCTCTTCAGCTGAAATAGTTTTGTGTTTCTTTCTTTTGAAGCCGAGTCAAAATTTCGTAAAGGCAAAACCATTTGGGAATTATAATGTTATTTTCTTTTGAAACCTAGCCAAGTACTGAGATCCTTTTGAAGCCTTAACCGTTTGCAGAATATAGTGCAATAGTTGCTTTTATTTTTCTTCAAGCATTTAAAAATGCTCAAGCCAAAACAGTTTGAGAATTATAATGCAATTTTCCCCTTCGAAATCCAGTCAAATCCTAATGCTATTTTATACAATCTCTCAAGATCTTCAAGATTTGACTCACAAAGAAGCTGAATAATCATCGCGGAATGCATATTCATTAGCTTATATATACATTGACAGGCTATATTGGCTAATTTCTACAATTTCCATATGCCATATTGTGGCCAGAATGCAGATAGGGTTTTCTGTTATGGCATAGCGCATTTTCACAAGGCCAAGATGAAGACAGCGAGATAAACATAGATTAACGAGTATTCAGATCAGAAACCAATCAACTATGCATACTGTAGATACGCGGAATATATACAATATATATATATATATATATTCAAATGGCAATTATTCGAATTTAATTTTAATGTGCAATATATCCATATGTATGTATGTGGATTGCTCTCTCGTTCGACATACACTCAATGGCTTCTGACTACTTAATTTCCAAGTGCCATAAAAATGTGAATGCTTTTCGGTATTGAGAATTGAAAGCCCAGCATATTTGGGCGTTGAAAAATAAGTTGGCTTATTTATTGTGCCATGCTTATAAATATTTAAAAAGCCTCCAAATGAAATAAACAATTAGTTTATTTATTGACACTCACACAAACGTACACACACTGTCATAATTACTTATTGATTTACATATGATATAGATTGACTTATAGAGCAAATATGTGGCCTAAAGTGCTCATGTTGAAAGGCAATTGTATATGGAGCCCTTTACAATAATTAACCCATGAACGCCATAGAGAATCGAAAAATCAGCGCATATTTGTAGCATTACGCAAGTTATTTGGAAATTCAAGTGAGCTAAGCCCGCTGTCAATGCAAAAAAAGCTATTTCTAAGGGTTTTCGCTTATGATTCGCAATCGGTTTAAGCTTCACATTGCCCAAATGCAACGCATGGTCACTTGATGCTGCCTTTACTGAACTCTTTGAGAATTTTAGTAATCTAAGCGAGCTGGACTTAGTTTACTACTTCTTTTAAAGGCTTTTGCTTATAATTCGCAAACGGTTTTAGCAACGCGTTACTCAAATGACTCGCTTAGCCAGTTGATGGTGTTTATTATGAGCGAACTGTACATTTATTTCTAGATAGCTGCACAAAGCAAACATATGTTAAATATGGCAATTAATAAATAAAATGCGTCTATTTCAAATCTCTCAGTCAGCCCAAGCTATACCCTCCTCTCATCCTCTGCCAACCTCCGCGGGCATCTTGAGTGGTCGTTGATTTAAAACATACATTGCGGCCTTTAATTGTGGCGCATTTTTGTCGAATCCGAAGAAACACCAGCCACATTTCGTTTCCTTTTAATGAAAACAAATTTGATCGAATGTGTGGTTAGTTTTAAGAGGGCGGGTGGTGGTAGAGGGAATGAAGTGGGGTATAGAATACCTAAGAAACAAATCGAATATAACGAAAACTTGAAAGAGGAGCGCGCGAGCACCCTGCAAATGGGCATTATGAATTGTATATGTATTCACAATATATATACATATACATTCATGTGAGTGAGTACAACGGGTACTCACATGTGCATGTGAGTGTGTGTATGGGCCACAAAATTATGATTTGTGTAAAAGTTGCCTGTGATTAAGCACTTTTAAGTGTAATTCGGCGATGTTGTTCTTGCGCTTTGGTAGGGTCTATATAAATAGAAGCAGGCAGGCAGGCAGAAGAAGAAAGATGTTTGCCTAAACCATAACTAAAAATCTTTATAGCTAAAGATATTTGTGAGATATTCTGCGTTGACCGGCGACGGCCGCTGCCGCTGCGATTGCGACTGCGGCGGCTGTTTAAAGTCAATTTTTGAATAATTATGAATCGTTTTTCAGTCTTTTTAGTTTTGTTGCTGTTGTTGTTGTTGTTGTTGTTGTATTTTTTCTCGTTGTTGTTCTCTAATTATAACAACATCATAATCATAATAATTTCTTATGAGTTGTATTTTGGCTGGCTCTTCGTGTGTTCTTAATGTGCCAAATATATTTCTATCTATTGAGCCAAAATTGCGAATATTTGTCCAACACACACACACACACATATGCACACATGCACACAGATACACACAAAGTTGCCTCAATATGCAAATGGTGCAGAGAGATTTATAAAATAAAAAAAAAGAAAATCTATCTAAAATGAATTATTGAAACCGATTTGAAATGCGTTTATGAACTAAACCAAGTGAAATTATGCGATTGCGAAATGCGGCTGCAATATCTATGCCAAAAGTAATATATATATATATCACACAGATATAGATATATACACGGATATGTAAATAAGATTATTCAAATGCATTTAAAGAAATCGAAGCAAAGTATTGAAAAATTGCTAAGAAATCGTTCCAAAAGCGGACAAAGCACAAATAATGCAAGAGCAACTGAGATAAACACAAATTGGAAGACAAACTTTGTTTTAGCTTATGTATATTAGATATCCTAATTAATAGGGTATTGAAGGATTGAAGGATTCTTATAAGTTGTGTCCTATAAAGCCGCATTCTGTTTGCTTAACCTGATATAATTCCATTTTAGGCAAACTTTTTCGTCTTCTTCTATTTTCCAAACCCGATCTAAGCCCATAGATCAAACATGTTAAGCAAACTCTGCCTCAAGTCAATTGCATTTAAGTTGACAATCTTTTTGCTGAGTATAGTTTGGCATAGTTTACACATAGAGCGGAAGTTCTTTAGACGTCACTTGCACTTTATTTCGTTGATTGGAATAAAATCTGGATACGCGAATACGCTAACTCAAATCACAGCTGCTTATATGGTTTTGTGCGCTTAATCAAAATCGCCGGAAATTATAAGATGCCAATAATAAAAATTAATATGCAGAGATTAAAACGATTTATATGTACGCCATCGCGTTGAATGCGTGCGACTGCGCCATTAAATTGTTTATAATATAGCACTAAAAAAAACATACACACTCCCATACCAACATTTATATACGTCTATATGTATATATATATGTGTATCATATACTCTGGCTTGTTCAGTTAACACTTTGGTTTAATGACTAAGACTAAGGAGCGCCCTCGTGTGCTCGAAAGAAAAAAAAAAAAAAAAAACAAATAAATAGCTACATTTTTGTCAATAAAATAGAAATTAGCGACGCTGAATCACAATACTAGTCAGATAGGAAAACGCGGCGTTTTTTGTACTTATACGGACAAGAGTTTGTTCTAGTGTAATTATTTCCATATTTAATTAGTGAGTGTTATTTACCATTTTGTCGGCTATGTTGTATCCACGTTTATAATTCCAGCTAGAGCTAGAATTCTAGTTAAATGTTTATTTGATTTATGCAAGATATATTTTGATTAATTTCTTCACTTTTAGCACATATTCAAATGTTTGCACGTTGCAGCTGCAAATTTTATTTGATTTCTTGTTATTGTTGTTGTTTTATTGTTGTTTGTGTTTAACACTTTGTTCAAATTGTCTGTCCGTTGCGCGCGTGCCGAATAATAAGCATATATTGTTTAACACTAATTACAATTGCCGATATATATCGTCAGAGTTATAGATATAAATGTTGTATTGCCTGGATATATTAATTTATTAGAGTATGCAACAATAAAACCGAAGCCGGGTATGCTGTGCTGTGCGCGCTCGTGTTCGCACTGCTGCACGTTTAGTCAATGACTAAAGGGCGGGCAATTCAAAATTTTTTAAAATTCATCAATGCTGCCAGCAGCGACGTCGACGCCGACGCTTACGTCGCGTCAACGCTTGCGTCGACAGCAGCAAACACACAACAAAAACCAAAAACTAATAAAATCAATTACAAACGCACACAAGCACATTCACATGCACAAGCGCAGCCGAAGACGCAAACCAACACAACAACGACGAACCGAAGGCAAAGAGCACGAACAAAAGCCGACAATGCGACGTGCTACACACGAAGTTCTCGTTCTCTGGAAGAAAACACAACAACACTACAACCAGCAGCGCCAGCAGCGACGGCGGCAGCAAAGGAAACGGAGCATGGAACTAGAGCTGAGAGCGTGTATCGTGCTTATTCTTAGTCTTAGAGCATTTGGTCCGTTGAGACTGCAGCATAATTTGTTGAGCAAAAACAAGATATATCAAAAGGTATCGTTTATAGGTTTTGCGCTCGTCTCTAAAGGGAATTCACGTTGTGCGCAAAGAGAACGTTTGCGAATGTGCAGTGCTCTTTGCCGCTGTGCTCTCTCTTGGTCATTCGAATGTGGGCCAAAAGTAATGACAATAGCGGCAATTGTTTAGCTTGAATTTTAACGTACTTCTGCAACGCCGTCGCTTGGACCACTGCCAACAATTTTTTAACTCACGCGCTCTCACTTGCTCTCTAGCGCTCGCTCTCTTTTTCTTTGGCACGCACAAACACACTTGTGTTGGCTATTGCGCTCTTGCAGGCGTTAAGTTACGTATGTGTGTGTGTATGTGTGTGTGTATGTGTGTATGCGAGAGCATGTAAGTGGGTGTGCGCGTTTGTGTCGCTTGCCAAATGAGCCAAGCAAAACAAAAAGGCAAAAATATACATATGTACGTTTGTAGTAGGAACAAGAACGATTGCACCTCGCCCTGCCCTACCCCTTACACTCCACACTCCAGCACCCACAATGCGCACACAGCATTTACAAGCGAAATATGCAAACGATTTTTGCATTTATGGCAAGGCAGGCAATGACGTTTGCTTCGCTGCTCTCGAAACGTTAAGAATTTTTGTGCTGATCTCGTTTCACATTATTTACTTGTGGGAATAGATTTTTAAAATCACAGCTGCCCAAGCTGCACAAATACAAATGCACACGCAAACATGCACACACATACATATACATATATAGCATAAGTTTAAGCGTACTAGAGTGCGGGCTTTGACACCCCTGAGTAAGTAGCGTCGTGTGCACTTTGTTTCATTATTCTGTATCCTAAAATATAATCGCTGCTATAAAGTGTCCTTTTTAACTCACACATTTGAATCGGGTTGCGTTGAGTTACCCTCATGAAGCGTACCAACTGAACCATTATGGCTACAGCTATCCATAATTACACAAAAGTCTAACATATATCGCATATAAGCCGCAGCGCTGCGCATAAATCGCAATTAATCAAGTGCAAGCCAATGCCGTTAACTCCCCTAACACCCCTCTCCCAGCCATTAGCACCCTGTGTGCATGTGAATCGCAGGGCAATCGAAGCGGCAGCAGCAGCAGCAACCCTCCCCAGTCCGAATAGCTCAACCCAAACCAAGCCAGCGCAATCCCATCCAATCCAGCAGCAAGAAAAAGAAAAAGTTCAACTTCTGCTTTGAGCTGAACAACAATTACAGGGCATGCTATCTCGCTCATACACTTTGCACTGGCCCGCTTGCACTCTCCCTCGCACACTCAAACTCGCATAACGAAAGCTACTAAAAATGTAATCATTATGCTTTATCGTAATAATCAGCAGCCGCAGCCCAGGCAAGTTTTGCCCAACAGCCAGCAGACGGCGCACACTTGTGCATGCATACATACATACATACACACACACACACACACATTGAGAGAAATATAAGTACTACATTCTAACATAACAAACAGGCAAACAAACAAAACTAAATTACAACAATTCCAAAAATTTATAATTGTGCTGCGCACACAGTTAGAAATCTCAAACTACCACCAGCAGTCGCAGCCACCCTTTCCAGCAGTGTGCTGCCGCCTGCCCCCCTGCCACCTCATCTCCCCCATCGCCAGCACAATGTTCATGCTCATTCTCAAGCTCTTATTCGGCCCTCAATCATCATCCTCATCATCATCCTTTTGGCTTGCCTTCTTGCCTTACAATTCGCTATGCTGCTGTCGCTGCCGCTGCCTCTGTTGCTGCGTTTGGACGACAGCGACGACGACGACGACGACGACGTCGCAACTAACACACAAAGCTACCAAAAAAAAAAGAGAAGGCAGTTAAGTTAAAATGTACTTAGAGTTTAAGCGTAACCCCGAAATCCCGACCGAACCCAAACGAGATTGTGTGTTTTAAGCGTTTTAGTTGCCCGCTTGCACACCCCTTGCTGCCGGCAACTGCGACGGCGACGGCGACGGCGGCAGCGGCAGCGGCAGCGAAGCCAACGCTCACTGCTCAACTTTGGCAGCAACAACAACAACAACGACAACAACATGCCAGGCAGTCAGTCAGTCAGCCATCTTGTGCGGCGTTATTAAATTTTATACAAATACTAAATATGAAATCAAAATTTTCTTATTACAATGACTATTTTCTCTTGAACAGCTGTGCGCCCGAGCAGGGGCCGACAATGAGTACGGTTCCGTTTCTCAGTTTGTCTTGGTGGATTTGCTTGCTGGGCTGGCTTGGACTGGGTTTGGGTTCGAGAGTTGGAGGGGTTCTTGAGTCGTATTGAGTCGAACCTCCCCCCACTCACTCGCTGGCTGCCTGCTCTGTAAGTATGTTTGCCGAGTCGAATGAATTGTACTTATGGCCATACTTATCGACTGCATTGTAAGGGATCCCAAGTTTTTTGGGTGTTGGCCCTAAAAATTGTTGCCTGCTGGTTGCCATTTGCCTTTTGTGGCCGCAAACGGGTTTGTGGGTAGTGGGCGGGTTTTGGAAGTCCTGCAAATATTTTGTGCATTCGCAAAAAGCTATTCACACAATTTCAATGCAGCCGTACAAAATTGCCATAAATTCAATTATAAACTTTTTTTTAAAATTGTAATACGCTTCTTTGGTAGACTGAACACGTTTTATGAGTTCCTGCCACTTCCTGCTGCCGTGCTGCTGTTGCAATCAAAACAACTAAATAAATGAGTTTTCCATTAAAATAGATTCTACCTGTTTTAGATAAGCAACTCGCGCACACAATCTACTCAATCCGGCAGACTACCTGCAAGACATACTTAAAATTTAAATTAAACAGCGCACGCAAAAGGTAGACAAAAAAAAAAAAAAAAAAAACCTAGTGCCTAAACAAATTCTGATAAGCACCGTGCAGATAGGACCGCCAGGACAAGTGATGAATAATACCAATCACGTACCCGAGCTCGGCCAGGCCAGGCCAGGCCACCTCCACAGCACCTAATCAAAGGAACATTGTAAACTAAGCCAAGACAAGACAAGACAAACGAATTCCAAAGGATCACCAGACGAGTTCGTCAAAAAGAATCAAAGAAGCAGACACATAAACAAAGTCGTATCGACTAGGCCATACCCTTAAGTTGGACCGGGCTGTCAAAAGAAGTAGACTAATATTCAGTCAATTAAAAATGTATTCAAAATAGATCACTAAATATCCAGTTAAAATTCTGCCCATAAGAATAAGAAGTCGTATTACCAAAAAAATTGTGACACGTTACGTAACGTTACGTAACGTTACGTAAACAACTGCAAGTCTCCAAATGGGTTCCGCTTTTCTGGATGCAATATACTTTTATAAAATCGAGAAAACTCATACCTAATACACGTAACTCTGTCAAGCTTTAACTTATTGCGTTTTTAGTTTTCTCATAATATTATATAGATTACGTAACAAACGTTACGTAGAGATCCCGCGAGTTTTGTTATATATATGTTGGAATATCTGTAATATCTATATTCTTCATCGTGATATCGTTCATCATTTATAGAGCTTTTGACATTTGACAAGATAGAAGATTTACATTGATCTCTTTTTTTAAAAAACGTAAAGAGAAATAATTTTGGGATATGAGAAGATAGTTTACCTAGTTGATTTGCAAACAAAAGTAAAGAGAAATACCCCACAGCTTTAGCTCATAGTTAGTCCTTTTTATGGATAGTTTTTTATAGTGTAATATAGTGTAAACAGTTTAATTTTTTGTTGTCAGTATACCCTGTTTACAGGGTATGCGACAGCTTAGTGCTGTGTCCAATCGTATGGAAAATGCGTAATCTCACACCAACGCAGCGGACAAGAACAACAAATTAAGTGCCAATGCAATGCACACACACACACACACACACACTTACACTAACACACCTAGGTATACAAATATCAATCTCTATATAGGGTCTATCTATGAGCATGTTTCATGCGCATGCGCAAAGGCTGACAAGAAACGAACGAAACTCGAAGACTGCCGGACAATTAGTTCAGACAGGCTTCCATCTCGTTTTGGTCTTGTGTTAAAAGGTCACCGTTTGCGGCTAAGAGTATACTATGCCAGGGCATGTCAGGGCTCTGTCTCTCGGTCTTCGACTACGTTTCAGTCTCGGTCCCGGCCCTGTTCTTTGATAGCGTTGATCTATTGTGTGCGCATTGCTTTTTACATTTTATACGCATGCGTCTCGTCTCTCGCTCTCTCTCTTTCTATATTTCTTTTCTTCATCTTTTTAGTGCCCAACGACTAGGTTCGTCAAAATGATTGATTTGTAGGTGATGAATTACAACAACAGCAGCCATACCAAGTCTAAGGTTGGCTTAGTTAAGAGCCTACATATCTTTTATGTGTATATACGTTTGATTGTGTGTGTGCGTGTGCATTTGTGAAAGGTACGACATAGTGAGGATTAAATACGAAATTCCATTTAAAAAATCTTTCATTGTTCGCTTATTGCTCTTTTTTTTTTTTTTTTTTAGGGGTGCAGCAGCAGCTTATATGAGTTTGTATAGAATTTTTACAGATAA